GCAGGGATATGTTTTCAGGAGAAGTGCTGGCCCCAACCTGACCCTACAGGGAGGGAGCTCTGGAGCGTAATCAGGATGGGGCAATTGGCTGAGCCTTCCTGTTCCTGCACCAGAGAAGGGGAAGAGGAAGTCCATGGGCACTTCTGGCTCTTGGTAACCCAAAGCAGCTCCCCTAGCCTGAGGTTGTCCTTAGAATCAACAGTCACCTGTGCAGGCAGTTAGGAGCAAAACACACAGAAATGGCTCAGCGGATCTAAGGGAGTCTGCACAGAGCTGACCAGTCTATGTTTGCCACCCTTTGATCTTATCAATGTATCTTTGGAGATGCCATCAAACATTTACATTTGAGTAGGTAATGGAGGTGTTCTCATGCAGCTCAGCCAAATGGCCCCTCCTAGTGCTAGAAGCATGGGACCTGGGACTACGAAGATGAGCCAACCACCATGTTCGGTGGACTTAGTATATTCGGTGAACCTGCCAAGGGTTAAAGTGGCAATCGTCTTAGAATCTCTTGCCATATCTAACTTTTACCTCCCCACTCGTTTTAAATTAAACTTCTTATTTTGAGAAAATTGTAGATTCACATGTGATTGCAAGAAATAATACAGGGACACCTCCTGTAAGCTTTACCCAGCTTCCACCAATGATGGCACCTCACAAAACTGTAGTACAATAACACGAACAAGATATCCACATTGACACAGTCAAGATTCAAAACAATTCAATCACACAAGGATCTCTCATGTTGCTCTTTTACAACTGTACTCATGTCCCTCTCTCCTACTGACTCCTTCCTTAATCTGTTCTCCATTTCAATAATTTTATAGAAACAACATTTCAAGAATGTTATATAAATGTAGTTTTATGGTACATAAACTTTTGGGATTAGCTTGTTTTTGCTCTGCATATTCTCTGAAGATCATCCAAGTGGTTGTATCAGCATCTCATCATCTCATTCTTTTTTACTGCTGGGTAGTATTCCATGGTACGGATGTACCACAGTTTGTATAACATTCACACACCAAAGGAACATTGAAGACTTTTCCAGTTTTAGGTCATTACAAACAGCACTACTATAAACACTCCTGTACAAGTTTTTGTGTGAACATAAGTTTTTATTTCTCTGTGATCAATGCACGGGAATACAATTGTTGGGTTGAATGTAAGTTGCATGTTTACTTTTTTAATAAACTACCAAACTGCTTTTCGGACTGGCTGCACTATTTTACAGTCTCCCCAGGAATGTATGTGTGATCTACTTTCTTCTCATCCTAGCCAACATTTAGTGTTGTCGTTATTTTTCATTTACTCGTTCTGTTATGTATGTAGTAACAGCTCATTGTGGTTTTAATTTGCATTTCCCTACTGCCTAATGATGTTGAATATATTTTCACCTGCTTTTTGCCATCTGTATACCTTCAGTGAAATGTCTATGCATGTTTTTTGCCCATTTTCTAAGTAGAATTTTTATGTTGAGTTTTAAGAGCTTTTTTATTTATTCTAGACATTTGGTTTGCAAATATTTCCTCCCAGTCCACAGCTTGTCCTTCATCCTCTTATCAGAGCTTTCACAGATCAAAAATTTGTACTTTTTTTCCTTTTTTTTTTTTTTTTTGGCTTGTTCCCCAACCAGGGATTGAACCCAGGCCCTCGGCAGTGAGAGTGCAAAGTCCTAACCACTGGACCACCAGGAATTCCCAAAAATGTGTACTTTTGATGAAGTACAACATACCAGTTTTTCCTTTAACAGATCATGTCTAAGGACTCTTTGCCTTGCCTTATAGCCTAAAGACTTTCCTCTACGTTGTTCTATCCTAAAAGTTATCACAGTTTTACATTTCACATTTAAGTCCATAATCCATTTGAGCTAACGTTTACACAAAGTGTGAGGTTCATTCTTTTACTTTCAGATGTACTGTTGCTCCAGCATCATTTGCTGAAAGGCTATCCTTCATCCACTGAGTATAATGCCACTTAGCCTCCTCCCAGTGGAGTTCCCAGGGCTGGTTAAGTGCCTCCTCTGCAGGCCACAGCTCCTACAAGGCAGCCCTTTCACACAGCTCTCCCTCCAGATTCTGTTACTGCTCCCTCCCCTACTCCTTCACTGGTTGAAGAGCACTGCATCCTCCCTTGTGGCTTCCCCACACTTCGCCCACACCTTTGTCAATAGTCCCTTTATCAAACTCTCCACTAGTCACCCAATTTAAGTGAGCCAGCTGTTTCCTGTCAGGACCCTGACGCATCCTACAAACGATAAATTTTCTAAATCCCAAACAACAGACATATACTGTCAGTCATCACAAAGCAATAATCATTTATTTTTTTAAGTTGTTTACAGGTATTTATATGCAAATGGATTTCCACCTTAAGACAGATGAAGATAAGGATGTGACATTAAAAGAGCATGCAGGCAAACACTTCTTTTGTTGTTTCCCTTTAACTGTGCCCGTTGTTGCAAGTGTGGTGTTTGCTCATCCAACTACCACACCGTTACAGTCAAACACTGACCGTCTATGTGTCCTGCTCACGCCAGCTATACTCTTTGCATCATCTTCTATCAAGAACTTCTGGCCACCCAGTTATCACTCTGCTCAACCAGAATGAGACCACAGCCCTGCTCTGTCTCTGTTAAGATAATAAGATCACCCATAAACTTCGCTGATTTATACTCATGCTCATCCCCTTTACGAGGACAAATAATCAAGAACTACAGTGTATGCAAAATTGAGGAAAAATACATTATTTCCTAGTTGTATAAAAGGAAACAAACCTATCTAAGAAGCCAATGGCAGTAGAAGTAAAATAAAAGCATAAACCTTCACATAAAAATATTAGAGTTCAGTGTGCTTGGTTTCTGATGATTTCTATGTGAAAGAAGTTTCTCTCATTTTACTTAAAACTTAGCAAACATTTCACAATTACAAAGATTAAGTTGTATCTACACATCCAAAGTGAAGTAGAGTTAAGGCAATTGTCCAGATAACTCAAGATAAAAAAAAAAACACAAAAAACTCTAAAATAATGGCCATATCTCTATATGCAAAGGCAGGTAGAGGGCTGAGACTGAAGTCGTTTTCTGCCACTCAAAATAACCAAATCTGGGCTTCCCTGGTGGCGCAGTGGTTGAGAGTCCACCTGCCGATGCAGGGGACGCGGGTTCGTGCCCCGGTCCAGGAAGATCCCACGTGCCGCGGAGCGGCTGGGCCCGTGAGCCATGGCCACTGAACCTGCGCATCTGGAGCCTGTGCTCTGCAGCGGGAGAGGCCACAACAGTGAGAGGCCCACATGCCGCAAAAAATAAAAAATAAAAATAAAAAAATAACCAAATCTACTTCTACTACCATCACTTATATTTTTCCAAAGTTTCAATGTTTTTGACTGAAAGGCTCAAGATCTCTGCTATCTGAATGATGATCTCAATGAGTACAGACACAGACTAAAGGAAAAAGCTGCAGTTTCAAGCTTAATTATACAGACTGGTTATCAACACTGACCCCTAATAAATGAAAAATTTGCCTTTTATAAATTCATATTATGTTAGGGCTGAAATGGACCTATGAATTCATCTAGCCCAGCTCCCTCATTTTATAGACAAGGAAACTGGAGTCCAGACAGATTCAGCAAGTTGCTCAAGATCACAATGAGGCCCAGTCCAGTGCTTTTGCTTACACAACGCTTCATTACATCATTGGTTTACCAAGTGTGCCTGCATGTGTCAAACCTTTCCAATTGTTTCATTCAGTGTTTTCTCCCTGGTACATTTTGTCTGGTCATATCTAGAAAAGGTACTAAGGATACATGTAGATGAGGGCCTATGATTCAGTCACCATCAATCAAGGGGATATTTCCCCATACTTTAAAATAAATTCGGTGCTTTAAATAAGAATGGAACCAATTTCGAGATTGAATATGAAGAACACTGGTTTGTTTGCCATCTTTTAAATCCATGCACTCATGAGCTCTTTTTTGGAGGGGAGGGGGAGGGGGAGAGGGAAGGAGGGAGAAATACGATGAAATCAGAAATGACATAGATTTGGCTTCTTTAGTTTGTCATATGTTGCATACAAACGGTCCAAACAGCAAAGATTGAGAAATACTAGGACAAAAAATTTGGGCTCCAGCCCTTTAAACAGCAAATGGGACAGACCAATGAAACTGACCAATGCTTTCAGTGGCCCTTGATTTGATTCCACTGGTATAGACACAGTCCAAATTCAATGTCAAATTTATTTTAACACTGGGGTGAAAGTGTTACCAAACAGAAAATGTAATAAAGTCAATAACTATTAAGCAAATGGCTTCTTATTTTTATAACAAGGAAAAACTTTTTTGGCAAATGGTTCTATAGTTATAGTATATGAAGACATTTAGAACTAATCTCCCCAATACGAAAATGTCCCCAAATTATCAAGTTGAAAGGCACATACCACTGCCCCAGCAGTTCATTCAAGTTGTCTTCAGCACGTGAAATTTTAATTGTGCTTTTTTTTTTTTTTTTTTTTTGCGATATGTGGGCCTCTCACTGTCGTGGCCTTTCCCGTTGCCGGACGCGCAAGCTCAGCGGCCACGGCTCACAGGCCCAGCCGCTACGCGGCTCACGGGCCCAGCCGCTACGCGGCATGTGGGATCCTCCCAGACCGGGGCACGAACCTGTATCCCCTGCATCGGCAGGCGGACTCTCAACCACTGCGCCACCAGGGAGGCCCTGTGCTTTTTTTAGCTTGTTATCAATGCAATATGGCCTTAAAAAGTGACATCCGTGCATATGTATACTTTCTTTTAAAGGGACCCACCCTCTTCCCCTTTTCTGATTTTCACTTTCTGAAGATCAATTTTTGTTAGTTCTTTGTTTTATAAAGGACCTAGTCCATGATGGTCTCAGAAAGATACACTTCGCAGTTTGTGCTCTAATTTTTCTAGAAACCAAGTGTGAATTATCTTTGTGTCCTAATACAAAATGGACTTTCCTGAAGTATCAGTGTGATGGTACTTCCACACTGTCATTTGTTGGAATGCAAAAGTACTGGATTATTATCTTTTCTCACTGGTTGTTTAAGGCTTACTTCGCTTCCAGAAGAGATGATTGGCAAACTATTATCCATGTGGTATCTGATAAGGTGGCCAACATTATCAAATATATGATCCTTGGTCCTCACCTTGAAAAGGAAATACAAATGTATTTAGGTTAAATGATAATGGTTCTCCTGAAAGGCATAAACAATCATAGGGTAAAAACAGACATATCCTTGAATGAGGTAACTGCTGAATAAAGAAAAATAAATATACTTTTCAATTCTGGATCCCTTAGTAAACTATTTTCTCATTCCCAATTACATTTTTTTTAATTTATTTTTTTAAGATTTTTTTTTTGTTTGATGTGGACCATTTTTAAAGTCTTTATTGAATTTGTTACAATATTGCTTCTGTTTTATATTTCCTTTTTTTTTTTTTTTTTTTTTTTGGCCCCGAGGCATGTGGAATCTTAGCTCTCTGACCAGGCATCGAACCCACACCTGCCTGCATTGGAAGGCAAGGTCTTAACCACTGGACCACCAGGAAAGTCTCCCCAATTACATTTTATTGGAGTATAATTGCTTTACAATGGTGCGTTAGTTTCTGCTGTATAACAAAGTGAATCAGTTATACATATACATGTATCCCCATATCTCCTCCCTCTTGTGTCTCCCTCCCACCCTCCCTATCTCACCCCTCTAGGTGGTCACAGAGCACCGATCTGATCTCCCTGTGCTATGCGGCTGCTTTCCACTAGCTATCTATTTTACACTTGGTAGTGTATATATGCCCATGCCACTCTCTCACTTCGTCCCAGCTTACCCTTCCCCGTCCCCATGTCCTCAAGTTCATTCTCTACATCTGCATCTTTATTCCTGTCCGAGGTTCTTCAGAACCATTTTTTTTTTTTAGATTCCATATATATGTGCTATCATATAGTACTTGTTTTTCTCTTTCTGACTTACTTCACTCTATATGACAGTCTCTAGGTCCATCTACCTCACTACAAATAACTCAATTTCATTTCTTTTTATGGCAGAGTAATATTCCACTGTATATATCTGCCACATCTTCTTTATCTTATCCATTCATCTGTCGATGGACAGTTAAGGTTGCTTCCATGTCCTGGCTATTGTAAATAGAGCTCCAATGAACACTGTGGTACATGACTCTTTTCAAATTATGGTTTTCTCAGGATATATACCCAGTAGTGGAATTGCTGGGTCGTATGGTAGTTCTAGTTTTAGTTTTTTAAGGCCTCCATACTGTTCTGCATAGGGGCTGTATCAATTTACATTCCCACCAATAGTACAAGATGGTTCCCTTTTCTCCACACCAACTCCAGCATCTATTGTTTGTAGATTTTTTGATGATGGCCATTCTGACCGGTGTGAGATGATATCTCATTGTAGTTTTGATTTGCATTTCTCTAATGATTAGTGATGTTGAACATCCTTACAGGTGTTTGTTGGCAATCTGTATATCTTCTTTGGAGAATGTCTATTTAGGTCTTCTTCCCATTTTTGGAGTGGGTTGTTTGTTTTTTTTATATTGAGTTGCATGAGCTGCTTGTATATTTTGGAGATTATCCTTTGTCAATTGCTTCATTTGCAAATATTTTCTCCCATTCTGAGGGTTGTCTTTTCGTCTTGTTTATGGTTTCCTTTGCTGTGCAAAAGCTTTTAACTTTCTTAGGTCCCATTTGTTTACTTTTGTTTTTATTTCCATTTATCTAGGAGGTGGGTCAGAAACGATCTTGCTGTGTTTTATGTCATAGAGTGTTCTGCCTATGTGTGCCTCTAAGAGTTTTATAGTGTCCGGCCTTATATTTAAGTCTTTAAACTATTTTGAGTTTATTTTTGTGTATGGTGTTAGGGAGTGTTCTAATATCATTATTTTGCATGTAGCTGTCCAGTTTTCCCAGCACCACTCATTGAAGAGGTTGTCTTTTCTCCTTTGTATATTCTTGCCTCTTTTATCAAAGATAAGGTGAGCATATGTGCATGGGTTTATCTCTGGGCTTTCTATCCTCTTCCACTGATCTATATTTCTGTTTCTGTGCCAGTACCATACTGTCTTGATTACTGTAACTCTGTAGTATAGTCTGAAGTCAAGAAGCCTGATTCCTCCAGCTCCGTTTTTCTTTCTCAAGATTGCTTTGGCTATTGGGGGTCTTTTGTGTTTCCATACAAATTGTGAAATTTTTTGTTCTAGTTCTGTGAAAAATGCCATTGGTAGTTTGACAGAGATTGCCGTGAATCCATAGATTGCTTTCAGTAGCATAGTCATATTCACAATGTTGATGCTTCCAATCCAAGAACATGGTATACCTCTCCATCTGCTTGCATCATCTTTAATTTCTTTCATCAGTGTCTTATAGTTTTCTGCATACAGGTCTTTTGTCTCCTTTGGTAGGTTTATTCCTAGGTATTTTACTCTTTTTGCTGCAATGGCAAATGGGAGTGTTTCCTTAATTTCTCTTCCTGATTTTTCATCATTAGTGTATAGGGATGCAAGAGATTTCTGTGCATTAATTTTGTATCCTGCTACTCTACCAAATTCATTGATTAGGTCTAGTGGTTTTCTGGTAGCATCTTTAGGATTCTCTATGCATAGTGTCATGTCATCTGCAAACAGTGACAGTTTTACTTCTTCTTTTCTGATTTGGATTCCTTTCATTTCTTTTTCTTTGATTGCTATGGCTAAACCTTCCAAAACTATGTTGAATAGTAGTGGTGAGAGTGGACAAACTTGTCTTGTTCCTGATCTTAGAGGAAATGGTTTGTTTTTCACCATTGAGAATGATGTTGGCTGTGGGTTTGTCATGTCTGCTTTTATTATGTTGAGGTAAGTTCCCCCTATGCCTACTCTCTGGAAAGTTTTTATCATAAATGGGTATTGAATTTTGTCAAAAGCTTTTTCTGCATCTATTGAGATGATCATATGGTTTTTATCCATATGTTAATATGGCTATGACCTCATGGATTTTGTTAATATGGTTTATAACATTGATTGATTTGTGTATATTGAAGAATCCTTGCATCTCTGGGATAAATCCCACTTGAACGTGGTGTGTGATCCTATGAATGTGTTGTTGGATTCTGTTTGCTAGTATTTTGTTGAGGATTTTTGCATCTATGTTCATCAGTGATATTGGTCTGTAGTTTTCTTTTTCTGTGACATCTTTGTCTGGTTTTGGTATCAGGATGATGGTGGCCTCATAGAATGAGTTTGGGAGTGTTTCTCCCTCTGCAACTTTTTGGAAGAGTTTGAGAAGGACAGGTGTTAGCTCTTCTCTAAATGTTTGATAGAATTCACCTGTGAAGCCATCTGGTCCTGGGCTTTTGTTTGTTGGAAGATTTTTAATCACAGTCTCAATTTCAGTGCTTGTGATTCGTCTGTTTATATTTTCTATTTCTTCCTGGCTCAGTCTCAGAAGGTTGTGCTTTTCTAAGAATTTGTTCATTTCTTCCAGGTTGTCCATTTTATTGGCATAGAGTTGCTTGTAGTAATCTTTCACGATCCTTTGTATTTCTGCAGTGTCAGTTGTTACTTCTCCTTTTTCATTTCTAATTCTATTGATTTGAGTGTTCTTCCTTTTTTTCTTGATGAGTCTGGCTAATGCTTTATCAATTCTGTTTATCTTCTCAAAGAACCAGCTTTTACTTTTATTGATCTTTGCTATTGTTTCCTTCATTTCCTTTTCATTTATTTCTGATCTGATCTTTATGATTTCTTTCCTTCTGCTAACTTTGGGGGGTTTTTTGTTCTTCTTTCTCTAATTACTTTAGATGTAAGATTAGGTTGTTTATTTGAGATGTTTCTTTTTCCTTGAGGTAGGTTGTATTGCTATAAAATTCCCTCTTAGAACTGCTTTTGCTGCATCCCATAGGTTTTGGGTCATTGCGTTTTCACTGTCATTTGTTTCTAGGTATTTTTTAATTTCCTCTTTGATTTCTTCAGTGATCTCTTGGTTATTTAGTAGTGTATTGTTTAGCCTCCATGTGTTTGCAGTTTTTACAGATTTTCTCCTGTAATTGATATCTAGTCTCATAGCGTTGTGGTCGCAGAAGATACCTGATATGGTTTCAATTTTCTTAAATGTACTGTGGCTTGATTTGTGACCCATGATATGATCTATCCTGGAGAATGTTCCATGAGCACTTGAGAAGAAAGTATTCTGTTATTTTTGGATGGAATGACCTATAAATATCAATTAAGTCCATCTTGTTTAAAATATCATTTAAAACTTATATTTCCTTATTTATTTTCATTTTGTATGAACTGCCCATTGGTGAAAGTGGGGTGTTAAAGTCCCCTACTATGACTGTGTTACTGTCGATTTCCCCTTTAATGGCTGTTAGCACTTGCCTTATGTATTGAGGTGCTCCTATGTTGGGTGCACAAGTATTTACAATTGTTGTATCTTCATCTTGGATTGATCCCTTGATCATTATGTAGTGTCCTTCTTTGTCTCTTGTAATAATCTTTATTTTAAAGTCTATTTTGTTTGATAGGAGACATGCTACTCCAGCTTTCTTATGATTTACATTTGCATGCAATATCTTTTTCCATCCCCTCACTTTCGATCTGTATGTGTCCCTAGGTCTGAAGTGGGTCTCTTGTAGACAGCAAATATTGTTTTTTTATCCATTCAGCCAGTCTATGTCTTTTGGTTGGAGCATTTAATCCATTTACATTTAAGGTAATTATCAATATGTATGTTCCTATTACCATTTTCTTCATTGTCTTGGGTTTGTTATTGTAGGTCTTTTCCTTCTCTTGTGTCTCCTGCCTAGCGAAGTTCCTTTAGCATCTGTTGTAAAGCTGGTTTGGTGGTGCTGAACTCTCTTAGCTTTTGCTTGTCTGTAAAGGTTTTAATTTCTCCATTGAATCTGAATGAGATCCTTGCTGGGTAGAGTAATCTTGGTTGTAGGTTTTTCCCTTTCATCACTTTAAATATGTCCTGCCACTCCCTTCTGGCTTGCAGAGTTTCTGCTGAAAGATCAGCTGTTAACGTTATGGGGATTCCCTTGTATGTTATTTGTTGCTTTTCCCCTTCTTTCAATATTTTTTCTTTGTATTTAATTTTTGATAGTTTGATTAATATGTGTCTTGGCATGTTTCTCCTTGGATTTATCCTGTATGGGATCTCTGTGCTTCCTGGACTTGATTGACTATCTCCTTTCCCATATTAGGGAAGTTTTCAACTATAATCTCTTCAAATATTTTCTTAGTCCCTTTCTTTTTCTTTTCTTCTGGGACCCCTATAATTCGAATATTGGTGCATTTAATGTTGGCCCAGAGGTCTCTGAGACTGTACTCAATTCGTTTCATTCTTTTTTCTTTATTCTGTTCTGCGGTAGTTATTTGCATTATTTTATCTTCCAGGTCATTTATCCATTCATCTGCCTCAGTTATTCTGCTATTGATTCCTCCTAGAGAATCGTTAATTTCATTTATCGTGTTGTTCATCATTGTTTGTTTGCTCTTTAGTTCTTCTAAGTCCTTGTTTAACCATTCTTATAGTTTCTCCATTCTATTTCCAAGATTTTAGATCATCTTTACTTTTACTATCATTACTCTGAATTCTTTTTCAGGTAAACTGCCTATTTCCTCTTCATTTGTTAGGTCTGGTGGGTTTTTACCTTGCTCCTTCATCTGTTGTGTGTTTCCCTGTCTTCTCATTTTGCTTAACTTACTGTGTTTGGGGTCTCCTTTTCACAGGCTGCAAGTTCATAGTTCCCATTTTTGGTGTCTGCCCCCAGTGGGTAAAGCTGGTTCAGTGGGTTGTGTAGGCTTCCTGGTGGAGGAGACTTCTGCCTGTGTTCTGGTGGATGAGGCTGGATCTTGTCTTTCTGGTGGGCAGGACCGCGTCCGGTGGTGTGTTTTGGGGTGTCTGAGAATGTAGTATGATTTTAGGCAGTCTCTCTGCTAATGGGTGAAGTTGTGTTCCTGTCTTGCTAGTTGTTTGGCATGTGGTGTCCAGCACTGGAGCTTGCTGGTTGTTCAGTGGAGCTGGGTCTTAGCTTTGAGACGGACAGCTGTGGGAGAGCTCTCACCGATTGATGTTACGTGGGGCCAGGAGGTCTTTGGTGGACCAATGTCCTGAACTTGGCTCCCCCACCTCAGAGGCTCAGGCCTGATACCTGGCCAGAGCACCAAGACCCTGTCAGCCACAAGGCTCAGAAGAAAAGAGAGAAAAAAGAAAGAAAGAAAGAAAAGAAATAAAAATATAAAATAAAAATTTTAAAATAAAAAATAAATATTATTAAAATAAAAAAACTAAAAAGTAATTAAAAAAATAAAAATAAATTTAAAAAAAAGAAAGAAGAGAGCAACCAAACTAACAAACAGATCCACCAATGATAACAAGTGTTAAAAACTACACTAAAAAAAAAAAAATGGACAGACAGAACCCTAGGAGAAACGGTAAAAGCAAACCTATAGGGACAAAATCACACAAAGAAGAATAAACATTCACAGTCACAAAAAGAGAATAAGGAAAAAAAAAAAAAATATATATATATATATATATACATACATATATATATATTAAAAAAAGGAAGAGAGCCACCAAATCAATAAACAAATCTACCAATGATAATAAGCTCTAAATACTAAACTAAGATAAACATAAAACCGGAAACAAATTCGGTGTAGAAAGCAAACCCCAAGTCTACAGTTGCTCCCAAAGTCCACCGCCTCAATTTTGGGATGGTTCGTTGTCTATTCAGGTATTCCACAGATGCAGGGTACATGAAGCTGATTGTGGAGACTTAATATGCTGCTCCTGAGGCTGCTGGGAGAGATTTCCCTTTCTCTTCTTTGTTCGCACAGCTCCTGGGTTCAGCTGTGAATTTGGCCTCACAACTTCATGTAGGTCGCCCTCTGGTTTCTGCTCTTCACCCAGACAGGAGGCCGTTAAAGGAGTGGCTAATTAGGGACCTCTGGCTCACTCAGGCCAGGTGGAGGGAGGGGTACGGAATGCGGGGTGAGCCTGCGGCGGCAGGGGCCAGCATGACGTTGCAACAGCCTGAGGCGCACCACGTGTTCTCCCGGGGAAGTTGTCCGTGGATCATGGGACCCTGGTAGTAGCAGGCTGCAGAGGCTCCCGGGAGGGGAGGTGTGGATAGTAACCTGTGCTTGCACACAGGCTTCTTGGTGGCTGCAGCAGCTTTAGCATTTCATGGCCATCTCTGGTGTCCATGCTGATAGCCGTGTCTCCTGCCCGTCTCCAGAGCTCATTTAGGCATTGCTCTGAATCCCCTCTCCTTGCGCACCCCAAAACAATGGTCTCTTGCCTCTTAGGTGTTCTAGACTTTTTCCTGGACTCCCTCCTGGCTAGCTGTGGCGCACTAGCCCCCTTCAGGTTGTGTTCACTCAGCCAAACCCAGTCCTCTCTCCCTGGGATCTGACTTCTGAAGCCCGAGCCTCAGCTCCCAGCCCCCACCCACCCCAGCGGGTGAGGAGACAAGCCTCTCAGGCTGGTGAGTGCTGGTCAGCACGGATCCTCTGTGCAGGAATCTCTCCGCTTTGCCCTCTGCACCCATTGGTGTGCTCTCCTCCGCGGCTCCGAAGCTTCCCCCCGACCCACCCCCCATCTCCTCCAGTGAAGGGGCTTCCTAGTGTGTGGAAACTTTCCTCCTTCACAGCTCCCTCCCAGAGGTGCAGGTCCCATCCCTATTCTTTTGTCTCTCATTTTTCTTTTTTCTTTTGCCCTACCCAGGTACATGGGAAGTTTCTTGCTTTGGGGAAGTCTGAGGTCTTCTGCCAGCGTTCGGTAGGTGTTCTGTAGGAATTGTTCCACATGTAGATGTATTTTTGATGTATTTGTGGGAAGGAAGGTGATCTCCACATCTTACTCCTCTGCCATCTTTAAGGTCCCCCCCCATTACCTTTTTATAGCAACTGTCATTCCCAGTTAGGAAAATGGTAAACACTGTCACCCAATCCAAATTTGCAAGCAACCTTTATGCCATGTTACTTTTTGATACATTCTATCATATATATTCCTATAAATATTTTGCCTCCTAAAAGTATGACCACCTCTGCTCTCTTTTATTATCTGCATGTAATATCTTTTTCCATCCTTTCACTTTCAGCCTATGTGTGTCCTTAAATCTAAAGTGAGCCTCCTATAAATAGCATACATATAGTTGGATCTTGTCCATTTAGCTCTCCATCCAGTTATTCTGCATCCTTTGTTTGGGAAGTTTAACCCATTTACATTTAAAGTAATTATTTATAGAGAAGAACTTACCATTACTATTTTGATAATTGTTTTTTGTCCAGGATCATTTCTGTCTACAGGTATCCTCCGCTCTAGCCATACCTCTTTTATTTAATACCATTCTACCGCTCTGTTTGCTCCTGTGATTCCTTCCCTATGCTCCAAATGTCTCCCTTTAAAACTTTTGCCCTCTTTCAAGGTTCCTCTTACATGTCAGACTCTGCAAGAAGCCTTTTCAGTTTGCCTCAATCGGAGCACCCCCTTCTATCCTGAGAAACACCATAATGCTTTGGTTGAACGATTCTTATGTTATTCATCCATAATTATTTAAGCATCTGTCTTATGAAATTATAAGCACCCTGAGAGCAAGGACTCTGTATGTGATACTGATCAATAGCTAACTATGAATCCCTGTACTTCCATGTAGGAGGTATTCATTTAACTCACTGAACTGCACTGAGAAGGGCAGAAAGAGGCTGTCCTCTAAGTGATCCTCTAGGGTGGCTCCCAGTCAAACCCCTCCACTATCCTCTATTTACCACTTCCTGCTCTAGCTGGAGGGTTCAAGAAAAAGTAAACCCTTAACCTTAAACACTCTTCAGTATCAGGCTTTAGACCTATCATTCAGAGTAACCTGAATCACAAGATCCTGTGAAACTCTACTGGGGGTCAATAATACCTTGCCTTCGGGATCCACCAGGAGAAGATGTTTTGCCTGGCCTCCCTGTAGCCCACTCAGCACATACTGGCCAGGAGATGTTGCACTCTCTCGAACCAAAAAGTCCCCGTCCTTTACCAAGAGGCTCTCTGCTGCTTTCCTGCTCAGCTTGCCGTGGTAGCAGTCTTCATTCCACAGCTGCTGCTTAATGTGTGGCAAAGAATGTGAGCTGGCAGGCTGGGCCGTGGCACCTGGCTGAACAGTTTCTGGTGCCTCTGAAGTCAAAATACAAAGAGAGACACCACCAAGTTACCTCCTCATCCACCCTTTCGTTCATTCATTCATTCACTCACCAAATATAATTTGAGGACCTACTGTGTGTCAGGCACTCTTTAAATAGTGCTATTTCTGGAACAAATGGGGTTTTTGTTTCTAGAATTTCCAACAGTCTCTAATTTAATGGTAGATCCAAACATTGCCTTTGGCTTCTGTTACCAGGAAAGCCTTGCCCAGGTGCAGTTTTCCTTTCAAATGAGAAATGGAACTGACCCATAAGAACTGCTTTCATAAGTGCAGAGAGAGTCTCTTTATGTCCCATGGGCTGTATGTTAAAGAGAAAAAGGTTTATGCTGTACCTGGACTACAGATAACTTCTAAAACATTCTCAAATGCTTTGAAAATGCCTACAGTAACTTTGGGCTATGCCCACTTTTTAATATTCAGCTTTTTCTTTTAAACCAAATTACTAATGTGCTTCAGAGATGCTTCTGTCCATCAACTTTAAAGCCGTGCTGAAGCTTACAGCATTCCTAGTAAATGACCACTTTGCTGTTTGTGTAATTCCCCTGCCTGGACAAAGCAGAATTGATCAAGTAGAAGAAGGTAATTATCAGGGAGGCATGGCCTGAGGCAAGTTCCCATGGCTCTACAGAATAAATGTATCCAGAGTTGAGAGCACTGGGGATGAGAAGGCACATCCAGGTAGCCCTTTATAGTATTATTGGTACTCATAGTAATAACAATTATTATGTAGCTCACATTTATTGAGTATGATAGGCACTGCTCAATGCTTTACATATATTATCCTGTTTGGCTCTCAAAATTAGATGGGAAGGAAATGGATCTTTAAAAAGGTTAAATGACTTACCCAAAGTCACACTGCTAATATGTTGTAGATCTGCGATTTGAAATGAGATCTATCATCAGAGCCCAGGTTCTTAATCACCACACTCTAAAACTTGGCTTGGATGAGAAAATCTTTTAATTTTCAAAACTGGTCTAGCCACTCTACTTCTGTATGACCCACAAAGGTCCCTAAATAGACAGCAAAGCTATCAGGATGATATACAGCATCTCTAGAAGTAATAACACAAAATTCTCAGGTCTGAATCCAGATAAAAGTTGTATGTTTGCTTATTTATGTATTTTTTTTGGCTGTGCTGCACAGCATGCGAGATCTTAGTTCCCCAGTGAGGGACTGAAGCTGTGTCCCCCGCAGTGGAAGCACAGAGTCCTAACCACTGGACCAGCAGGGAATTCCCAAAAGTTGTATGTTTAATATGGCAAATTTACTAGGAAAATAACCATAGAAATCAGAATCTGTCTTTTTAAATTCAAAGGATCTTTTGCATAGAAACCAGCTTTCTCTTTATAAATGCAAAGGAATGTTTACATGTCCTTACACAAGAGTCTCACAAATGAGAAATCCTCTTGACTTTAAGTTTTATAACTTACACAAAACAAGTGCCCTGTAGACATAATCCAGTCTCCTATTAATATGTTATAGTTTTGGCACTATTTAAGAACTTCTCTCTGCATATCACAATTTCGATGCAGCATTCATGAATATAACTTTTTGAAAATATCTTCAGTCTGTATCTAATGGCTAAACATATTCTCCTCTACAATCAGGTTCTATCTATGGTTACCAGAAAAAGCCTGAAGAAATGTGTCCAGACTTGATGAATAATATTTGTAGTTGGCCTTAGTGCTGCCTGCTTTCAGGCATAATAGAGAACTTCTGATGAGTAGTTGTGTGTGTGTTTGTGTACGTGAGAGAAAGTGTGTGAGTGTGAGGGAGATGCATGCATGTGTATGTAGGTGCACACATTTTAGTGCATGATGGTTTCTGGTTTATTCTGAGATTGTGGAGCACTCTTGGACAAGGACAAAACAAAAGAAAAACAGACATTATATCATCTTGAAAAGAGGCAATAGACCATGGGCCAGCCTGAGGATATGGACATTATTTTCCTAACACAGTTTCCCAAATTAGCACAATTTCAATCATCCAAACATTTGCTGAAAATATAACTTTTCCAAAAGCTGGGAGATTTTCAATCATCCAAACATTTGCTGAAAATATAATTTTTCTAAAAGCAGAATATCTAACATATTTTTTAAACTTTTGCTTTAAGTTTAAAAGTTACACATTTTTTTTTTAAATCTGGTAAACACAGAAAAACAAAGAAAATTAATCACTTTTCATCCTATCACCAAATACAACCACTCTTTAACATTGTGGTGCACTGTCTAGTATGGACTCCTTTTTGTACATAAAGTTGACTTTGAAAAATATAATCATAATTTAAATACAGTTATTTATATATAATTTCCATATACTATTTAATGAATTATTAACTTGATATAATTATATTTCTCAGAATTACTGACAGTTAAGGAAGCAACAAGGAAGGTTGCTTAAATCACTCTGGATTGAACTGAGATCAAAAAAGAAAAAGTGACAGGAATCATGGAAGAAAATAATCATGTCATCTTGGAGTTCTCATTAGCAACTAAAGACACATTGTCACAACCAGAAATTCAGGAAAACATAAGATATATATGAATATCCACACCCATATGTATCTGGTGAGTAAAACCTTTGAAATGGGGGAATATGGTTTAAGGAAGAGAAAAAAATCTAACATCTAAAATCTGGATTAAACAATTGCAAGTAATTCCAATGAGAAAGAAAGAACACGACATTTAAAGAAACCAGTGTGAACTGTGAAGACAGCATATTGATGCATTCTATTTTTTTTAAAGCACATGTAAATGGATTTTTTTTGACAGTATTGGTCATTATACTAGCAAAGGACAGGGAAAAACTAGATGTCCATCTATAAGGGATTGGTTATACAAATTATGATTCACTCATACAATAGAATACTATAAAATAACTGAAAATAACAAAGGTTTATGCATCCAACATAGGAGCACCTAAATATATAAAGCAAATATTAACAGACCTGAAGGGAGAAATCAACAGCAATACAATTAGAGTATGGGACTTTAATACCCCACTTTCAAAAATAGATAGATCATTCACACAGAAAATCATAAGGAACACTGGACTTAAATTACACATTAGACCAGATTGACTTAACAGACATTTACAGAACATTCCATCCAAAAGCAAAAGAATACACATTCTTCTCAAGCACACATGGGACACTCCCCAGGATAGATCATATGTTAGGCCACAAAACAAGTCTTAATAAATTTAAGGATATGGAAATCATATCAAGCATCTTTTCCAACCAAAGTGGTATGAAACTAGAAATCAATTACAGGAAGAAAACTGGAAAATTCACAAATACATGGAGATTAAAAAACATGCAACTGAACAACCAATGGGTCAAAGAAGAAATCAAAAGAGAAGTCAGAATATAACTTGAGGCAAGTAATTTAATTGAAAATTAATATTTTGAGACAAATGAAAACTATGCACCAAAACTTATGGGATGCAGCAACGACAGTTCTAAGAGTCAAGTTTTCAGCAATTAACACCGCCATAAGAAAATGAAAGATTGCAAATAAACAACCTAACTTTACACCTCAAGGAACTATAAAATGAAAAACAAACTAAGCCCAAATTTAATAGAAGGAAAGAAAAAAACAAAGATCAGAACAGGAATCAATGAAATAGAGAGTAAAAATACAACAGAAAAGAAACTAAGCTGGTTTTTTAAAAGATAAACAAAATAAGCAAACCTTTAGCTAGACCAAGAACAAAGAGAGAGGACTCAAATAAATAAAATCAGAAAAGAAAGACATTACAAATGACACCACAGAAGTACAAAGGATCATAAGAGACTACTCTAAACAATTTTATGCCAACAAATTGGATAACTTAGAAAAAAATGGATACATTTAGATCCCTAAAAACATACAACCTACTAAGACTGAATCATGAAGAAATAGAAAATCTGAACCGAAGAATTACTAGTAAGAAGATTGAACAATGAATCAAAAACCTTCCAACATAAAAAAAGGCCCACGACCAGATGGCTTCATTAGGGAATTCTACCAAACATTTAAAGAGTAATTAATATCAATTCTTCTCAATCCCAACCAAAAAATAGGAGGGAACATTTCCAAACACATTTTACAAGCCCAGTGTTACACTACTACCAAAACCAAACAAGGATACCACAAGAACAGAAAATTACAGGCCAGTATCACATGTGAACATAGAATCAAGAATCCGCAACAAAATATTAAAAAACCAAATTCAACAATACATTAAAAGCATCAAGTGGCATTTATTCCAGGTATAAAAGATCAGGAACAAGCCAAGGATGCCCATTCTCACCACTTTTATTCAACATAGTATTGGCAGGCCTAGCCAGAGCAATTAGGCAAGAAAAATAAATAAAAGACATCCAAATCAGAAAGGAAGAAGTAAAACTGTCCTATTTGCAGGTGACATTATATATAGGAAACCTTAAAACGCCACCAAAATAAGAGAAACTGTTAGAACAAATAAACAAAGTCAGTAAAGTTGCAGGATACAAAATTAATACACAAAATTACTTGCATTTCTATACACTAATAAACTATCAGAGAAATTAGGAAAACAATCCCATTTATGATAACTTTAAAAAGAAAAAGATACTGAAGAATAAACTTAACCAAGGAAGTGAAAGATCTATACACTGAAAACTATAAGACCTTGATGAAAGAAACTGAAGAAGACACAAACAAATGGAAAGAAATTTTGTGTTCATGGATTAGAATAATTAACATTTTTTAAATGTCCATACTACCCAAAGCAATCTATAGATTCAATACAATCCCTATCAAAATTTCAGTGGGGGCTTCCCTGGTGGCACAGTGGTTGAGAGTCCGCCTGCCGATGCAGGGGACACAGGTTCGTGCCCTGGTCCAGGAAGATCCCACATGCCACGGAGCAGCTGGGCCCGTGAGCCATGGCCATTGAGCCTGCGTGTCCGGAGCCTGTGCTCCACAATGGGAGAGGCCACAACAGTGAAAGGCCCGCATACCACCAAAAAAAAAAACTTCAATGGCATTTTTCACAGAAAAAGAACAAACAATCCTAAAATTGGTATGGAACCACAGAAAATCTCAACTAGCCAAAGCAATCTTGAGAAAGATGGATAAAGCTGAAGGCATGGTGTGTCCTGATTTCAAACTATATTACAAAGCTATAGTAATCAAAGAAGTACAGTATTGGCATATAAACAGACACACAGATCAACAGAACAAAACAGAGAACCAAGAAACAAATCCATACATATAGGGTCAATTAATTTACAACAAAGGGGCCAAGAAAAGACAATGGGGACAGGATAGTCTCTTCAATAAACGGTGCTGGGGAAACTGGACAGCCACATGTCAAAGAATGAAACTGGATGCCTATCTTGCACCATACACAAAAATCAACTCAAAATGGACTAAAGACTTGAACATAAGACCTGAAATCATAAAAGCCCTAGAAGAAAACAAGGGGTAAGCTCCTTGACATCAGTCTTGGCAATGTTTTTTTTTGGATTTGACACCAAAAGCAAAGGCAAAGAAAGCAAAAATAAGCAAGTTGGGACTACATCAAACCAAAAGTTTGCACAGCCAAGGAAACCATCAACAAAAGGAAAAGGCAACCTACAGAATGGGAAAAAAATATTTGCAAATCATTTATCTGATAAGGGGTTAATATCCAAAATATATAAAGGACACATACAACTCAACAGCAAAGAAAAAATCCAATTAAAAAATGGGCAGAGGAACTGAATAGACATCTTTCCAAAGAAGACATACAAACGGCCAACAGGTATATGAAAAGATGCTCAATATCACTAATCATCAAGAAAATGTAAATCAAACCACATGAAGTATCACCTCACACCTGTTAGAACGGCTATCATCAAAAAGACAAGAGGTTAAGTGTTGGTGAGAAAAGAGAACGCTTGTGCACTATTGGTGAGAATGTAAATTGGTGCAGCCACATGGAAAACAGTATGAAGGTTCTTCAAACATTTTTTTAAAAATCTGCCATATGATCCAGCAATTCCACTTCTGGGTATACATCTGAAGGAAATGAAATCACTATCTCAAAAAGATATCCACATCCCCATGTGCACTGAAGCATTATTTCTGATAGCCAAGACATGGAAACAATCTAAGTATCTACTGGCAGATGAATAGATGATATAAATACACAGTGGAATATGATTAAGCCATAAAAAAGAAGGAAGTCCTGCCAACTGCAACAAGGATAGACCTTGAAAGCATTATGCTAAATAAAGTAAGTCAGACAGAGAAAGATAGACACTGTGTGATCTCACTTGTATGTGGAATCCAAAAAAACAGAATTCATAGAAACAGAAAACAGAGGGGTGATTGCCAGAGACAGAGAGTGAGGGATGGGGGAAATGCTAAAAAGGTGCAATCTTCTAGTTATAAGATAAATAAGTTCTAGGGATGCAATGTACAACACGGCAACTATAGTTAACAATTCTGTATTGCATATTTGAAAGTTGCTGAGAGTAGATCTTAAAAGTTCTCATCACAAAGAAAAAAAAACTAACTATGTGAGGTGATGGATGTTAACTAAACTTAGCGTGGTAATCGTTTTGCAATATATATATATATATATATATATATATATATATATATAAAATGCACCATCTACCTCAACTTTATGGATGTGGTAATATGGTTTAATAGCAGATATATATATATATATATATATCAAATCAGTATGTTGCATACCTTTAACTAATACAATGTTATATGTCAAATTTTATCTCAATAAAACTGGAAAAAAGAAAACTACAAAATATTATGTGCTACTTTGGACAAATCTCTAAAATAGAGGAGTGAAAAAGAACAAGTACAGAAGGGGATACTCCATTTATTTTTAAAGAAGAATGATTAGATAGATAGATTGATCATTAGATCCATCTGTAGACAGACAGAGGTACATAAGTAGATAGCTAAATACTTAACCATGCATTAACATTTTGGAAGTAGTCAGAAGGAACTCTTAATATCTTAGGGAACTGTATATGGTGTTAAGCCTTGGGAAGGTACATATTTTAAAATAGCATTATTTATTATTTCGACTTCTTCTATGAGTATTTGTACTACTTTTGAATTAAAAACACTGTTTATAGAATAAAAAATGTATACAAGAGTCAAGACAGCCACCTAACTAAAGGGAAAATCAGAAGAGGGATATACTTTTGTGAGAAAAGTGTCAGGGTTGGGGGACAATCCTCAGTTTTCTG